AGGAGTGCGAATTGTGCAGAAGGCCACCCTAAGGCTCGGGAAGGTCCTATAGGAATCCATTTTGGGTTTCCTCATGTCGGTTTCATCCTTCTAAGTGTTAGAAATCGATACCGCACACGCGAAACTCCAAAAGAGGACGGAAATAGGTTGAACTAAAACGAGGCGGGCACCACTTCTAAGGTTCTAAGATAGTCGCAGGAAGACCCCTAAGGCTAGATCCTAACTCCTACGAGGAATACTAGACCTCACGAAAATTGAGGTCAACACCCATCAAACAACTTCAATGTCAAGGATGATTTCATATTCCCAAGTAAACTCTAAGCTCCTATGCATCTTCAAGTTCAAACCATATTGAAATGGGTACGAATAATTGTTGATGTGAGACTGTCAGTAAAGTAATACGGCCAGATGCAGCCAAATTTTTAGTTGCATTCCAATCTTTAGTGATTGCTCAAGTAAAATATCATTTGTAAATAACAGCGTAACAATTGGAATTGTTCATTAAATTGAAGATAGGCAGCAGCATAAGTGGATCAGTCAAGTAAGCTCTCTTTCTTCTTTTACAATTTTTCTAGATCATGCCTTAAGCTAAACTTCTGGATTTAAAAGATAGCTCGTGCATAACTAAAATACCAGTTTTAACAATAAAAAATGGGAAGAATAGCATGTGAATAACTAAGATTTCAACCATAAATTGAGATATAGTAGGAAAAAAACAAGCTATTAAACATACTCTAACTGGATGGAGTCTAGCATTTTCAATCATTATGGATTTGCATCCTGCTTCATCCATTTTTTTATGTTTTGTTACAAATAATAGCTCTTTATAGAGACGCGGACCTCACTACTTCCTATGGTTTTAAATTTGACTGAACCAAGCTCCAAATATAACTCAAATGTTGGCCTACGCTGCTGATTCAGGAACATTTCACATTAGACCGAATCTTTTATTTATTTATTTATTTATTTATTTGGATTGAAAGTAATTGTTTAGAACTCATGGTCAACCTGGACTCATTTAGAATCATTATAATTACCAAATTAGCATGCATAAATGAACTTACGCCAAAAAATTGAACATAGAAAGCAAGAAGTCATTTATAAATATATCATGCAGAGGCTCCTACGTAAAGCAAATAAGAAAAAATACAACAGAATAAAATGCATATGAAGGAGAGCAGGCCAGCCATTAAATATTACAGCTAATTATTGGCAGAGAGGAAAACAACAAAAAAAACAAACAAAAATGGAGAAATGCACAACCTCAGGTCCAAAACAGGCTTTGGATACATCCACTCATCACCAGTGGTCTTTAATTTTCCCCACATATAAAGCTGCCCTCCACCTGAAAAAGGTGCCAAATTCTAAAGGTTAATGCACCATTTTTAAAAGCGCCCTTTATGGAAAGCATTTTCTAGTTTCAAATTATTGTTATTAAGAACAAATGGCCTGTACTAGTTAACCACAGTAATAATATCAACCATGACAACTAAATATAGAAATATATTATGGCCAATTGTACTGATATAACTGTCAAAGAATGTGCATTAAACATATAAATTTAAGAGATCCATCATCAATGCTAGTTTTCTAGCAATCTGCTTTGCATAAAAAACGATGCCACAGCAAAGTAGTGAAAATAAAGTGTCAGTCTCATTGCAACACATATGATAAAAAAGCAATAATAGTATAACATCATACAACATACCAATGATTCACAATTCAAATAATTTACCTTAAAAGGGTGGTTGAACATGGTCCTGATACCGGAATTAAGCAAGATTCAGAAGGGAAGCAGAATTTTATTACTCAACAGCATAGATTAAAATGATGACAACAAAACAACACATAAAACACAGCAAACACACTAATACTTGACAAGGGCTGAATGAGACAATCAGGGGACAGCGGTGATTGTGCGTGGGGATTGATGAGGGTGGCAGGGATGGGGTTGTGGTGGTGGATGGAAGGGTAGAGAGTGGCAGGGGAGAGAGGAGATGGGTTAAAGGTGATCGGTCCGGCAGACTGCTGGAGAAGGAGAGGAAGGCGGCTGATGGGGACATAGGGAACATGGTTGCAAGGCAGCAGGTGGGGCTGCGGTGGAGATTGTAGCGGCCGAAGATGAAGAATCTGAGATTTAGAGGCTAGAAGGGGTCGGGAGGGGCATCGACTGAAGGCCTGCGAGCATAGGAGGGGGAATAAGGCGTGGGATCGAGGAGATAATCACCACCGTGAAGCAGAATACAGCTAGAGCACTGTTTGTCCTCGAATACAGCCCTAGCAAGGCAAAGCGTTTGCAGGCATAAATCTAAAATAAAAAAACAAAACTAAACCCTAACTCAACAAACAACAAATTTGTAATACGTAAATAGGAGGTAAAGGGGCGGTAGTTCCCACCAAATAGTTTGCTAGCCAGTCCAACCTCCCTGTTGGACCGGCTCGCATCAGTCTCCCGGGCGGAGAGCTTCAACTTCATTCGTTGAAGCCTCTGAGTATTCGTAGTACAATGTAAAGTACGCAACATTGGACGTGGCAGAAACATTTTAGTCCCCTAGCAGGTCGATCTTATAGGGGTTGTCATTCAACTTACGAAGTATTCTGAAAAGCCTATTTGCTCTAGGCTAGAGTTTTCTGAATGCTCCTACTGGGAATCTCTTTTTCTTCAGTCGGATTCACATTAGGTCTTCTTCTTTACATGTCACATTTTTCCTTGTCTTATTTGTTTGTGCCTGGTACTTGTGATTCTACTTAATGATCTCTCTTCCAACCTCTTTGTGGAGCTTATGAATCTTGTGCACTTGTTCCTATGCATTTTCGCTAATCTCCGATATCGGTAGGAGTGGTACCTATTCGAGTGGAGTGAGCAAAACTTGTCTATGCACGATCTCAAATGGGGTGTGGCCCACAGTTTGACTCACGTATCTGTTGTAAGCAAACTCAATTCGAGTGGAGTGAGCAGAACTTGTCTTCCAAACAAAGCATCTCAACATCTTTCCAACACTCCTGTCCGCTACCTCTGTTTGATCGTCCTTCTGTGAATGAGCTGCGGAACGGGATTAAGCTTCGTAACTAGTTTTCCTCACAGAGTCCTCCAGAAGTGAACAGGGAACTTGACAACCCTGTCTAAGTAAAAGTCCTGGGTATCCCGTGCAACCTCACAATCTCTCTGAAGTATAATTTGATGGCATGTGATACATCAAGTGTCCGGTGGCAGGATATGAAATGTGTCATCTTCAAAAATCGATCCATCACAACGAGGATTGAATCCTTGTTCCATTGTTTCCTCGAAAGAACCACCACAAAATCCATGTTAACATCAACCCACGGTGCCTCTGATATTGTTAATGAGGTGTATAGCTTTGTACAATGTTCTATGATTTTTGCCACATGCAAATCCAACATTGACTTATGTGTCGCTCTACATCTCTTGCTAGTTGAGGCCAAAAGAAGTGTTCTCTCGTGAGAGAGACTTGTCCCTACCAAAATGTCTTGAAGTCTTCTAATGTGGCTTTCTTGAACAATGGACTCCCTCAACAAACATCTAGGAATACGCAACTTACTCTGGTAAAACAATAACGATCAGCTCTGTAATATTGTCTGGTAGGCTTCTCCTGACACTGCTCCCAGATTTTTCTAAATTTCTCATTTGTCTCGTATGACTCCTTTACTACCACAAAGCCTATGACTCGAGTCAGCATGTCATCAGTAAGTAATGGGGGCTCATTGCATCTACTACATGGTTTTAACTCCCTGCTTTGTGCTTACGCACAAACTGGAATGACGCTAAGAGCTCCATAGAAGTTGCATGTTGGCCCTTCAGTTTACTCTTTTTGTTTAAGAATTTCAAGGCTCCGTGTTCCGTGAACACTGTGAACTCGTTTGTCGGTAAATAATGCTCAAGTGCTCAAGAGCTCTCACAATAGTATAAAACTATTTATCGTATGTTGAATATTTCCTTCTAAACTCATTTTGCTTCTCACTTAAAAAGTCAATGGGGTGACCTACCTGGCGAAACATTGCTCCTATCCCCACGTCAGATGCATCATACTCAATCTCGAACAGCTAATTGAAATACGGTAATGTCATGATTGGTGCTTAGGTAAGCTTCTCCTTTAGTGAGTCGAAGCTAATTTGAGTTGCATCCGTCTAGTGGAATTTTTCTCCCTCAAAAAGCCTAGTCAAGAGAGCAGTGATGTTATTGAAGCTCCCGATGAATCGCCTGTAAAAATTGTATGAGCTCGGTGAAAGACTATGGAGCGGTCCAGCTTATAATGACCTCGATCTTTGTATGGTCCATCTGAATGTCTGCACTAGACACAATAAAACCCGAAAAACATACATGGGTTGTTATAAAGTGACACTTCTTTGGATGTGTTCCTTGATCTTTGAATACCGTCTCCAAGAGCTTCCAGAATGTCGTTGAAGTACACCACCACAAATTTCCCAATATAGGTCTGAAACACTTGATTCATCATCCTCATAAAAGTGTTTGGTGCATTAGACAATCCGAAGGGCATAATTGTCCACTCATCCCCTAGTCTCATTTAGATTTGGTGATACCCACTACGTACGTCGACCTTGGAAAAGAGGGTGGCTATGTGCAACTGATCAGGTATGGGGATACTTGATAGTAAACTTGATGATGGTCTTACTGTCAATGCACATCTGTCACGAACCGTTTTCTTGGGTGGGTACCATCAAGGATGGGACCGCACATGAACTAGTACTCTCTGACAACCCTCTCGCAGCAAGATGATGTACCTGTCGCTACAACTCCTTGTAATCCATATGTCTCAATTTGTAGGCAGGTTGGTTTGAAAACACTGATCTGGGTATGAGATTTATGGCATATGGAATGTCTCTTAGTGGCGGTAATCCCTCTAGAAGACTGTCGGTCATTATATCCTTGAAGTAATATAGTAATAGTTGTATCGGTGCTGGTATCTCACTCTCCTCCATGGTTCCCTCTAGTAAGAGCAATGCTATTGTCACTGGAGCATCCCTAACTGACTGCATGAAGGGGGCCTTCAAGGCTAACACCTCTGTGTCGTCTATACCTCTCGCATTCTTGATAGGTAATAAACATGATGTGATTTCCATCCTTTTTAAATGAGTAAGTATTCTTGAAACTGTCGTGTTGAATCTTGCGATTGAACTATCAAAGTCTCCCCAACAGATGATGACACGCGGCCATCGAAACTATGTCGCACCACACTTGATCATATATTTGATTCCCACCTAAGGATTCAACTAAGCACTGATGATTTACCCATATCCCGTCTACCCTCTTCAACCACGAAAGGGAATAAGGTTGAGGATGTTTTTGCGTGGCCAATCCCAATTTCTTAACCATCAGCGTGGACATCATATTTTCACAGCTCTCATTGTTGAAAATTAAACTACAAAATTTGCCCTTCAAAGTACACTTGGTGGGAAAGATATTGCGCCTCAACTATGACTGAACTCTCTTTGATTTTGTCTGCAAGACTCTCCGTATGACAAACAACTCTCACTCTTCACAATGTAGTTGAAACTCTTCCTCTGGATTATACTTTGTTTCCTCTTCCTCCACTTTCTCGACAACGGCCTGATTTGTGAATGAAGCAACTTAGGTTGTAGGACAGTTGGAGGCTGTGTCCATAGTTGTGGCATCCAAAACACCTCCTAGCAGGCATTGTACTGGACGAGCTACCCTTTTTCGGCTTCTTCCCACTCATATTTGTCTTATCAATCCCTTGGCCTATCTTGCCAACTCCTCCAAAGGTACGCTTGTCAATCGTTATAGATATAGGTGACTGTCTGACTGACGACTATCGTCTGAATGACGATTGTTTCCTGCTCTATTTATGCTGTCTTTCCACCTTCAATGCTAACATTTGGACATCCCCTAGAGACCAATATGAATGTAACTGCACAACATTGCTAATTGTGAGTTTCATTACTATGGTATGTTCCTCTGACTCAACCCACACTTCATCTGCAACTGATCAGAATATGTCGTGTACTCCACCGATAGATTTCTTTGTTGCAGGTGGAGGAGTCTTAGAAACATACCCTGACGATAATAAAATGGAAGGTATTTCCTCTATATCTCTTTTCTCATTCAGTAATATTATCACTGCCTTCTGTATTTCTCTGCATCTACAAATTTTTCCAGCACAATGAGGTCCTCTTCTTCAATTTAATGGCTGCTAATTTTCTTCATTTATCCTCTGACACTTGCTTATATTTGAATATTTGCTCAACAGATTGCAGCAAGTCGATAAATTCGTTTAGATCAATACCTCCATTGAACTTTAGTAGATCCACCTTGATGTCAAAATCTCTGTGTCCTCCATATATAGG